CCGGACGAGTGTGGTCGTTCCCATACGAGTCCGGTACACACATTTTGGACGAGTTACGTACGATAGTTTACGCCATACTAATAAATCTGTACAAATCCTTATATATTTCCACCAACTAAAGGACTAAAAATCACTAGTCATAACCTCTCTTATGTTTTTGTTTATAACCATTCATTGCCACCTAAATACAGTATAATCAGCTGATTGGTGTCCGGTAAAACTCATTCCAGAACAGTAGTACGCAATGAAACCCCATTTGAATAAGCTGGCGGCAAACAGCTGTTTTCTGGACTAAATCCTTGCGTGGGAAGTTCGTCAAAATAATGTAGTGTGGCGTAAAAATATGCTTAACTCTTTATATTTGTACATGTTCTAATTTCCTCACCTGAGCGTCCAAACACAAGAAAGCTCATGTTTCATCCACAAAGTTGATTATGATTATGACATTAGGAAGGATTTATTATGCTTAGGAGTTACTAGAGAATATTTCAATTCCCTTGACAAAGAAAGATGGAAGAAGCACTGTCAACATTTAGACAGACAGACGGACAAACAATTGATAAGGGAGGCGAGGCAGATAATCAAGGAATGACTAAGTGACTGGCTACGGTGGAACAGGTACAGTTAGATTTAAGGCTCAACTAATTTCTAAGTGGAATGTTAGGTTGTTTAGCAATTGGTACAAGTATACTTAACATAAAATGTGTGTGTTGCTTATTTAGTGGAGATATTATTGAATTTCGGTATGTTAAAAAAAACCTATGTATGTTAAAACAATTCACAAGTTCGAACAATTTCCCCATAAAATCGTTGATGATTAATTCATATTAAAACCACCGACGCTGACACTATAACAATGCTAAAACACAAAAATCACAGTTGTCCTTCCTAGTTGTCCCACACTATTAAAGTAGTTTAGAAAAAAAACTACGCGGTTTAATATTTAAGTTCCTGCGATACATTAACACTTGGCCAAATAATTATCTAAGTCTTTATCGATTTCTCATTTGAGTGCTTAATAGGCCTATTGGCCATGCAATTTACGAATTAATTGTAAACTTGTGAATATTCAATAAAAATCTTATCTATAACCAAAATACTGATGATAAAATGGAAATTGTAAAAACATTGACTTGTGATAACGCTGGTACTTGTTAACCAAATAAAACTACTGTCAACGTTTTTATGACCGAGACGAATCTGAAACAAAATTGTTCAGTATACTTTTCACTGTTCATCGCATTGAAGACAAGCCTCAAACAACGACAGAACACCTGTTCACGCGACCAATAAATACGACAATCTCCAGCAGGCTACAAGCTACACATGCTGTAGTGTAGTGATCAGTGATCAGTGAACACATAAGTTATGTAGAGTGGATATCTGGCCAGTGGCAAAGGCATTAGCATATTCATCGTGTCTAGTTTATATACAGACGACACTACTTTGATTTAGTACCTTCTGGGCTTTGAGCAAGGAGTTTGCTTATGTTGTAGGTACTGTACCTTGTATGAATTATCAATAAGTGATCAATTAATACTGCAAATCTGCTGTTTAGGGAACGATCCATTCAACATTTTATCATGCCGTAATTTTATAATTGAATTTAAGGATGATTTTGATCTTGGTTGTACTAGACTTTCCGCTTTTGGCGTATTGAGGACGAATACCTTATCTATCTCAAAGAAATTCACTAAGTATGTAACAAAGCGATCAAGAAAACATCTATATCCTGGGAATAGTCAGCATTCAACGGCTCGTGCCTATATTTGTAATTAATTTGACTTCTTTAGATAATTTCTCACAAATTTTGTTTAATGATTCTAAAATATTTTTGTGATAAATAATTCAAATAAATGATGATAGGAAATGATTAAAAAGAATAATGAGGGGTGATAAGCAAAAGCTGTTGGACCCCACAAAAATGTATGTTAAACTGTGGTTACAGTAAAAGTATATCACGAAGACACATTTTATCACACCCAAAGACTTTTGGGTTGACTTAACTTTAAAACACTTATTTGATCAATTATTGACTCTCATGTTTTTAAAAGAAAACTACAAATACTTAAATTATTAACAATATCCCAGATTACCATCTCATTCCCCATCAAAAAAGATTCAGTCGCTTCAATCGTTCCGAAACGGTGTCAGGCGCTAACACTTTAGAAAACAAACGATCTACTCACATGCACTGGCAGCATAACTCTTGCTATCTAAATCTAACATCTAATTGTAATCTACATCTGTAATCTACACGAGCACTCAGTTGGAATCCGACCCGGTCGCTTAATCTACTAATTTTTTGTGGGAGGCGTTGAATTGATTGCATTTAAATGATAATTAAGGGGACACCGTTATAGGAAATTATACAATTGAATTTGGTTGGTTATCTGAAAAATGTTAAACCTCGGTAAAAATAGCATAAAATATTCAACTGCAAACATTGTCTAAATATGTGGCGTTGCGTGTAGTACGAGTATAATCTTACAAAAATGATCGGATAGTCTTCACATTCTTCCTGGACTTAAGCCTCACAATGACATCTGCACTGTTAACTCACATCTTCATGGAAAAATCTCTTAAAACAGTTAAATGAATGAATGAATGAATGAAAATCCTTCTATATTGAGGCGAACTTAGGACCCCATGGTTCTTTCTCACAGTTAACCTCTAAAAAAAGTTTAACATAGGTAAAATATAATGCTTTACATCGGGTGTCCTCGCCGAGGATAACGAGTTACATGATATGGTTGTCAAGGGTCCCAACGTGAACGTAACAATATGGTGTCATTATGAATATAAATTACTTAATATTTAACACGGACAAGCTCAACTTTCGAGCCTATAAATGATCGATTTGAAGACATAATACTAGACTTAATATTATAGAGATTGAGATTTTAAAAGTAGTTTTTTTCTTTATTCTTACTTATTTCTCCGTCTACGTTTTACATTTGTCATTTTCTGTCAGATATCCATAATGATTTCCATCAGAAATATTAAGGAATACATTGAAGACAACTTAGAAAAAGATAGTTTAGAAGATACTTCCATTGATTTTTTGGTCGATTCCAACAAGTTTGTGATCAAGCGATACCGATGCCAAGTATGTTTTACATTTTAATCAGCCAAAGAAAACATTTTTGGCAACCAGATGGTTCAGTGATCAAATATCTGATTCCAAGATCTAGTATCCAAAAGAAGTGTTGTTTGATTCAAAAAGGTGACCATGAATTCCTTGCCAATTGATATTCACTCATAACACAAATTTTAAATGGTTGCTAACAACTCTTTACATTTTTGAGCCTTTAGGACTTCAGGATGACAATATACAAGATATAGGAAATTAATATATTAATGGAAACTGCACTACACAAATGAAATACGATTCACCAAGTAATGTGATTCGATTGAGTAAGAGTTCGGTATATTTGATGTAAAGGACATATTTAAAAAATCAAGCTTACTGAGCGACTAAACGCAATCAATCATCAAAGGATTAATCCCAATTAAAATGCACATTACGTAAAAATCTAAAATAAATATTTCCGAACGATTTATCGCTACTCTCGATCTAATCAGTCAAAGTGACAACGATGTGGTATTTAAACACCTTCTCTCACTTGTGTGTGCGTGTGTGTGTGTGTCATTACAATGGGATCATTATGTTCCAATGATAGATGATGCAGCTACAATCCCCTGACATATAACATGGTCCTACGACGAGCTAGCTATATACTCTGTGGCGGCTCGTACGGTTTATCATAGCCAGTATCGGTGTATTTCATTCAGTCAATTTAATTTTCATCCGTGAGAACTCAGTCTTTTTGGCAGTTGTTAAAAATATTTCATTTTTTTTCTTTAAGACTGATTAAAGAATTTAGATACTGATGGATAAACTTAGATTGAACGATAGATGTAGATAGATAATTAAGAGAGAAAAACTAGATGATGTTTTTAGTTGACTGTATTTCTTTAAACTGAACAAAAAGTAAACATGATATAAAATAAGACCAGCTGTTAGAAACAGTGAATTAGAAAAAATAACTTTAAACATTCTCCCCCCCATTGCACCGAAGGAGCAATCTATCTATATATTAATAGGCAAGCATGTTTCTTTAAAACCTTTTTTCTCAGCTCGTGTGCATCGTAGGGAAAATCTACGCATACCGTTGGAAAGCTATTTTCCTGTAGGTGTGCAGAACCCCTTTATAAATTTAAATAGGCTCAAAGATAAGCACAAAAAATGAGTTTAAAAATTTGAAAAAATTAACATGGATCTTATGCGTTGCTATGCTGGTTACGAAATAACAACGAAATATAAACAGAAAATCAAAACAAATGGAAGAAACTCCAATCACATGTTTTATTTACAGTGTGGGGTGAAAATAGATAAGTTAGTACATTACATATTTTTGGTCGAGTTTCGACCACTGGACGACCTCTCGTAAATATTAATCACTGACTTCAATTGGAAGAGGACAAAGCTTGACTATTGGTCTTTTCAATGAGGTACTTGATGTTCTCAGAGTGGCTACTCGGGTAAGTCCATCACGACCTGGATGAAGTTCAGTCACTCTTGCTAGCGGCCACTTTGATGGTGGTAATTGCTCATCAACAACAAGAACAACTGATCCAAGTTTTATTGAACAGGAAGGAAATCTCCATTTGTATATTGCTTGAAGTTGTTGAAGGTACTCCCGAGACCACTTCTTCCAAAATGATTCCAACATTTGGCGAGTTAATTTCCACCGAGTAAGTCTTGATGTGGGTTGGTTTTCTTGATTAGGTTCTGGGATAGTAGTTAAAGATTCGCCAACTAAAAAGTGCGCAGGGGTTAGGATTGCTAGATCGTCTGGATCTTCTGTTAGCTGGCAGAGAGGGCGAGAATTGAGTACAGCTTCTATTTGTACCAGCACTGTCGAAAATTCTTCGTAAGTTAGTAGGTGGGTCTTCATAACTCTTTTGAGATGGTATTTAACTGATTTAACACCAGCTTACCAATGACCTTCAAAATGTGGAGCAGCAGGAGGGTTGAATTTCCATTCAGTTCCATCATTAGCAAGCAGGGATTTGAGTTGACCTGATTCTGCTGAAGACGATGAAAACAACCTTTTCAGTTCTTTGTCAGCTCCTACAAATGTTGTCCCGCAGTCACTCGTTAAAGTAGCACAGATGCCTCGACGGCTGGTGAATCGTTTGTAAGCCGCTATGAAGGCTTCTGCTGAGTAGTTGGAAACCAACTCTAGATGAATAGCTGAGGTCGCCGAGCAGATGAACACCGCAATATAACCTTTGTAGGTTTTTGCTCTCTTTCCATGCCATGTTTTGATTACAAAAGGGCCTGCGTAATCTACACCAGAGTGCAAAAAGGGACGTGATGGTGATGTTCTTGTAGGAGGAAGCTGCCCCATTAATTGTTGAGCTCTTTGAGAGCGATAACGAGCACAAGTAACACACTTTAACAGTTCTCGTTTGACGATAGGTCTACCTCCAACAACCCAGAACTTCTGACGAACGGTTGCAAGTGTACAACGGGTGCCACTATGCAGAGTCCTGAGATGAGCATCATCTATCACTAGTTTTGAGAACTTAGAATTCTTTGGAAGGATATAAGGATGCTTTGAATCATATTCTAATGAAGATTGTTCAAGTCTGCCTTTAACTCTCATTAAACCAGTGTTATCGACAAAGGGGTTAAGACTTATAAGATTAGATTTTTCTAAAGGTCTGTTGTTTTGTAACCGCGCAAGCTCATTTTTGAAGGCATGTTTTTGAATGAGTTTTACCCACAACAAAAGGGATGAGTTGAGATCTTGAGGAGTTAAAAAAGATTGACAATTAGTAGGGATGGATTTTTTTGTTTTGGCAATGAACTTTTGACACCAGGCAGTAACACGTAATAGTTTTGACAGTGTTGAGAAGCGCTCTAGCATTTCTGGTTCTGGTTCAAAGTTTAAAATGTGGCAAGTTGATTGAGGGATTCGCAGTTCAGATTTCGCTGCTTGAGCTGGATCAAACGTCGTGGATGGCCATTCATAAACATCTTTATTCAGCCACGGAGGACCCGTCCACCAAAGCTTATGGTTGCTAAGGATTTTAGCAGTAACACCTCGTGAAGCACAGTCGGCTGGATTTTCATTTCCTGCTACATACCTCCACTTAGCGAGCGGTTCTGTCTCTTGTATAACACTTACTCTGTTACGCACAAAGTCTTTCCATTTTGAAGGTTGATTTGTGATCCAGGTTAGGGAAACCATAGAGTCAGTCCATAATCATGCTTGGGTAGATTCTAAGTTGAGCATTTTCCGAACATACTTTACAAGTTTTACTAGTAGTGTAGCAGCAGTGAGTTCCAGTCGAGGAATCGACATTGTCTTGAGAGGAGCTACTTTAGTTTTAGAAATAACTAAACTAACAGTGATATTTTCACGATTAACGATTCTTAGGTAGACTACAGCACTCATTGCAAGCTTAGAAGCATCTGAAAATCCATGAATTTCTACCGAAGATAGTTGGGTAAGACCAAGATAACGAGGTACTTTAACTAATGGCAAATATTGTAGGTCAGCTTCAAGGAGTTTCCATTGGTCTTGCAAGTGATTAGGTAAAAGTTGGTCCCAATGAATTTTTACTAGCCAAAGTTGTTGCATGAAGTGTTTGAACCTTATGATAATAGGAGAGACAAAACCCAAGGGATCGAATAACTGACCTATTTGAGAAAGAACGTTTCTTTTCGTGCATTTGTCTTTTGGACTTAGAGTAGGAAGAAACTGAAAATCGTCGCTGAATCGATTCCATGTAAGTCCAAGAGTACGTATACTGGAGGATTTGTTTATCAATAAGGAATTGCCTTTTTCGCAATTACTTTCCGATATGTATGATAGTACATTTTGATCATTGCTGATCCACTTCTGTAAAGGAAAACAACCTAATTTGCAAAGCTCGTCAGTCTGTTTTACTACTTCTCTGCACTCTTCAATCGAGTCTGCACCACCAAAAATGTCATCCATATATCTCCCTCTTGTCAACATTTCACTAGCTTGGGGATATGCATCACCGTGATCGACGATAAGCTGATTCATTGTTCTTAGGGCGAGAAAAGGAGCGCATGATAACCCATATGTAACAGTCTGTAGTTGAAATTTTCTAAGATGACCATTTTCCATCCAGAGAATTCTTTGAAGATCTCGATCACTGGGATGTACTAGAATCTGGCGATACATTTTCTCGATATCAGTGGCAAATACGAATTTATAGCGCCTAAACCAAGTGAGAATATCAGGTAGTTCTGTTTGGAGTTTTGGACCACTGTAGAGTACGTCATTCAAAGATAATCCTGAACTAGTTGGGAATGAGGCATTAAAAACTACTCTTAATTTAGTCGTCGTGCTAGAAGGACGCAAAACACCATGATGAGGTAGGTAATATATGGGAATGGTAGAATCTATTTCTTCAATAGTTTCAGACATGTGACCAAGGTCCTTGTATTCTTCTATGAAATTAGTATACAAGTTTTTGTACTCAAGATCGTTTGAGAGACGAGTATTTAGCTTTGTTAAAATTTGAAAGGCTGACGATTGAGATTCTCCAAGCTGATTGACTGTTTCCTTCAGGGGAAGTCGGACTTGATAGCGACCGGAAGGTTCTCTAGAAAAGGTTGATTGATAATGTTCCTCACATACTTGATCATCAGGAGACTTGACTGATTCTTTAATTTGAGGAATTTCTTCCTGTACCCAAAATTTTTGAAGAAAATCATCAAGTTTGTTTTCAATCAAGCAATGAAACATTGATGAGGTAGATTTATTTTCCGTCATTCCAGTAGGTCCAGACAAGATCCAACCGAAAATTGTTGCTTGTGCTACTGGGGAGAGGGGTGGACCTTTAATTAGACCAGGAAGGATAATAGACGTGTAGATGTCTGCTCCTAGGACTAAATCTACAGATTCAGACTTCATGAAGGCAGGATCAGCTAGTTGAAGTCCCTTTATATGATTCCACGATGAATGATTTGGTGTTATCGATGGCAAATTTGATGTGAGATTTGAAAGGATGTGACAAGATAAAGAGCAGCTAACTTTGGTATCATACAGAGAACTAAGATTGATTGAAACTATACCACGAGTGGTTGGGGCTTGATGTCCACCGATACCAACAAGAGATACTGAGGAGTATGAACGCTTCAGATTGAGAGTTTGTACTAAGTATTCACTGATGAAAGAGATTTCAGATCCTTGGTCGATTAAAGCTCTGGCAATAACACTATTTCCCTCAGGACCAATTACCTTAACTTGAGCGGTTGCTAGGAGCACAGATTGTCGATTAATTTCCTTAAATGGAAGCATGTGATTAGAGGAGACGTGTGAGCTTGATGATGTGTTATCTGTAGATGAGATGAATTTGTTAGGGATGAGAGAACTTGACTTTTTTATATGAGGTATATTTGTAGTCTGGCTAACAGCGTCATGAATTAGAGTGTGATGTCTTTTCTTACATTGTAAACAAGATTTATTTGAGCGACAGTCCTTTAACAAATGTGAACCAAGACAGTTGAAACATAATCTTTTGTTCACAAGAACCTCTTTTCGTTGACTAGGTACTTTTTCACGAAACTCCTTGCAAAATGCTAAATAGTGATCTTTACTACACAGTTGACAATCATTTCCTATATTGGACTGAGATTTTGCTACAATTTGTGCTGAATGTACTTTAAGATTTTGATGAGGTTTACCTTTACATTGTAGTGTAGTTACCGTTACATCGCTTGGTGGTGTTGCTCGTGACTCAATACTTTCCAGGGCTCGAATACGACCTTCGATGAAGGTCTGAAGATCTTCTAGGGTGGAGGGTTCTGTTGAGACTCCGTAACGAATCTCCCATGCTTCGTGTGTCTCTGGGTCTAGTCGTTGTACAATCATGTACACCAAGATGTGATCCCATTTATCTGTAGGAGATCCTAGCGCTTTGAGGGAACCTAAAGACTCATTGATAGTAGACATGAGGTGATTGAGACCACTAGCAGATTTATTTTCTAGAGGTTTTAAATTAAATATATCATCCAAATGCCTTTTGATTAAAACACGTTTGTTTTCATATCTAGTCACAAGTTTTTCCCAAGCTGGCATGAAATTTTCTCCTGTTATTTGGAAATTTGTTAGCAATTGAGCAGCATCACCAGACAAACTGGTTTTTAGATAGTGTAACTTAGCTACATCAGTTAAGTTAGGATTTTGAATCACTAGTGAAGAAAAAAGATCATGGAATGGTTTCCAAGACTGGTAACTTCCTGAGAATTGAGGTAGAGATATTTTAGGTAGTATAGGTTGATTTGATTTACTCATAGAACTAGATGTATTGATATCAGATGTGCTTTGATTTTGTTGAGAATTTACCGATAACTCTTCTAAGAGAACAAGCAATGCAGATTTGCTTACCATATAGGCTTCAAGGGCTTGACTGTAGTGATCTTCATTTATGTAGGCTAGGTCTTTTAGTATGTCAGCTTTTGACTCACATATTTTCTCGTGATCCCTCTCGAATTTCCTCCATTCTGCTTCGATAACATCAATCCGGGTTTGTACTTGAGGCTTCAATATAGTTGATATATCCTTTTCCTTGAAATAGTCTGTGGCTTTTTCTAAGATTTTTAAGCGTGTTGCTTGAAGACCTAGTTTGGATTCTAGGGACATAACTTCAACTGAGAACAGGAAATTTTCTTGATTACTTTTATAACTGAATTGAAAAAATAACTGTTAATTACTTATTTATTCCGGGTCAGAAGGACCAAATGATTAAAGAATTTAGATACTGATGGATAAACTTAGATTGAACGATAGATGTAGATAGATAATTAAGAGAGAAAAACTAGATGATGTTTTTAGTTGACTGTATTTCTTTAAACTGAACAAAAAGTAAACATGATATAAAATAAGACCAGCTGTTAGAAACAGTGAATTAGAAAAAATAACTTTAAACAAAGACCAACACACGGTTGGAGGTTAGGATAATGAAGATTTTTCAAATTCATAAAACAAAATGGCGGCCATTTAAATTTTTTTAAAAATCAACGGTGTTTGAGTTATTTAAGAAACAAAATTTTAAATGGCCGCCATTTTGTTTTATGAATTTGAAAAATCTTCATAATTTTTTTGTAGTTTTGTCTAGTTGTCATAAATGTTTGTGCAAAGTTTCCATTTCGTATGTTTAACCGTTCTTTGGAAAAAAATTAGTAACTGAAAAAAACAAAATGGTGGCTGTGTGAGTAACTAAGGACTTCCGGACCATTTAAATATGATATTTAGGTATGTTTCTTATCCAGGAGCAATGCCCTAAAATATTGGTAGAGAGTTCCGGGACACCCTGTATAGAGTTAAACATGACGCTATTTTCACATTTTACACAACTTAAATTGTTTTTAACCTGAAGCCCCAAAGTTTGATATCCGCCCAGTACATTCGTCACATAACGGAGCATTAGTGATATGAAATATTTGAATTGTAAGATTACTGATCCAAAACTATAAGTTTATTAATTCTACGCAATCGTCTGACAATTATGATTGACTGTAGCACAAGTACAATTAGTTCACTTGATAAAACTTTCACAACTAAAAATACTAATTTTTAAATCGAATGTAAAGTCAAATTTTGCAGCAGTTGCCAGAATGTATTTTTACCTCACAACGAAACAATGACTCATATGTGACGCCTCTTTCACACGACGCGGCGCCCGCCGGATCCGGCGTAGGGCTATGGGAGTATATGAGTCCCTTCACACTATGTCCGGCGCGCGCCGCGCGGCGAATTCGCCGCACGGCGCGCGAGTTACCGCCGGATGCACCTTGAGCCGGACGACAGCGCCGCGCGGCGTCCACGCCGGACCACTTGGTGAAGGTGCATTGGTTCTTATGGGAGCTTTCACACGGTGCGGCGCGCGCCGCACGGCCTAGCCCCTACGCTGTCTCAATTTAGGCAAACAACCTGACCAAGAAGGTGCAACAGTTAATTAAGAAATTATATATCGTTGTATCGGAAAATAATATATTTAAAGCTATTACAAAACATATATTTTTATGTTCATCCCATGCAAATCGGTCAACTTAAAGTATTAAAACAAATTTTTTTCTTTAATAACTAGAGGAGATTTTTTAATTTAGTAATTTATACGTAATGTAACATTTTTTTAACTTCTAGAATACAATATTTTCAGATATGACGAATACTTATATATAATACGTGAAGGCTATTTCTATAAAATA